CGAGTACATCAGCAAAGTACTGCTCCAGGAAGCCTACCTACAAATAGCAATGGAGTACTTGCAAGTAGAGCGAGGAGAGGCCTGGAAGATACTGCTGAATTAAACTACATAGCCAGGAGCAAGATTGCTTTTTATATTGTTACATTAGCTGTAAATTTTAATAGGATGCAATAACTAGTAATTCACGATCCACATATATGTCAGACTGCAAAGCTACTTGCATGTGAAAGTTACAAAGAAATGTGCGAGCTTGCTGTGAACTTTCAAGTACATACAACACTTACACACGGCAGTTTCGCGCATAAAAAAAGTACGCCCTCTGTTGGCGAGATGGAGTTAGTGGTAATACCAAGTGACAACCTAGCGCGATGTAAATAAACCTTACGCGCAGCGATCCCTTTGTTTCGTTGGTGGATTTAAATACCCTGCAAAAGATATAAACATTGATTGGTTTATTAAAATGAATATGCAACAGATTACCAAATAAGGCTTTACAAACCATCAATGAAGCTATGTACGGTCGACAGTTGCCATCTAGCGTGCACAAATTATGATAATGTGTGTTTTTTTTATGCAGCGTGTGACTTGTGACCTGGTACGATTTAGCGTTTTCGTGCCGTCATGTCCACTTCGAGAAAACATCATTTATAAAGTAAAATGCAGTTCTGTGACGCATACTTGGTCAATCTATCAATAAATGAGTTATCTAGGTTCACGTTGATATGGACGAAAGGTTTGGGTCGACATGCTTCCGTGAGATTTTAGCCAATATTGAGGGTGAATAAAACAGGAATTCGTCAAGTCGCAACGTACGAAGTGTACATGCAGTGTCATGGCGTGACGAGTGGGGACCTTCGTGGCCATGTTTTGGCATGATTTCGGAGATTCAGACCGAAATCTCAGAGGTAAGCCTACAGATTATGTATTTACTCTGCTCAGAAGATGTAGTTTTTGTAGTTTCTCCTTGTTTTTAGTCTGCGACACAAGGATTTTGTGTACGTACGCCGCGCCATGACAGGAAGTTATTACAGTAATGTCGTACATGAAACAGTCGTAGCGTAGGCGCCTTGAGCTATCCCACAGCACGCACTTTTGGACGACGCAACGACTCGTGTATGTAGAAGACTTTCATCTAAGAAATATTTCTGCCCAGTGTGCCTTGCTAGTTGCAATTACCCAGAAAATCGTATTCGTAATAAATAATCACAATGCATTCCTTAATCCTAACAGTAACAGTCCTGAATCCTCCAATTTCATTATGATTTTTACATTTCATGTAAATTTTAGTCAGCGTGGTCAGGATTTGCTGGCAATGGCATGCATCATGCAGGAACATGAATGATGATGGAGGAATGGAGGTCATTCTTTGCATTACACCCACCGCAGCCTACAGGTAGGAGCCTGACATTGTTCTTGAAAACTTCTCAAGGAAACTGTGTACTGTACATGTATGTTCTAAATGCGTAAACAAAGGATTTGACATGTAGGCCCTACATGTAGGTTACATTGCCAGGGCCGTCAATACTGTGGCGGCCTGTGTCGACGTAGCCTGGGATTGCCCTCTGCCGACCCGACGAGCGGTTGTAGGGAAGGCCAGGGGAACAGGTCCGTTTTGGGGCAGTCTACCGCCAGGCGCTCGCAGCTGCTTCCTTCCACACACCGGGGTTGTACTTGGGCGGACACAGGGGAATGGGATGGGACTGGGGGCTGATGTTTCTACAAAACAGCACTCAAACTCGATGTGTAATTGGAATAATGATTTATTAAAACAAAGATCACCTTGGTAGGATTACTTTAGTGGCGCCTATAATCACCTAAACAGGGTAACACACTGAGTAGACACAATTCCTGGTCAATTGGGAGAGCTTAAATATCTGCGGTGACTTGGTCTATTTACTCCAAGAAAAGGGTGCACTGGACTACACTGAACTACTCACAAGGCTAACAGTAAACTGGACGTGACTCTAACGGGACTTCAACGGACGTGACTCTGTGCGGACTCTGCAGTAACTACGACGGACGGAACAATGACGGACGGTACAGGACTACTCACAGGACTTTGACTATCTCGAACTGTTTCCCGCCACAGAGTGACCTTCCCGCCACCACGCACTGCTTATATAGCCGCGCGGTATGCATACGTCACGGCATTCATGAATAAACTAACTTAAAGAGGGCGTCCTAACTTCGGACCATAATTTCGCTACAATACATTAGGCTATTTCTTTTTTGCCCTCACTCAGTCATATAATTGTACTTTTTTTTGTAGAGTATTTTTTCCATTAATTTCAAATTTGACCTGGGACTAAAATGACTTGAGACTTACCCCCTTAGTTGACATTTGACCGACTTTTATACATTTGTACCTGGGACCAAGTTGACCTGGAAGTGGAACTGAGTTGGCCATGCTGTCTCAGACGGTCAGACCCGTCTGTTAGGGACCGAGTCGGTAACAGTCTTGTGGTTGTTGGGTACGGAGTTTACTCGAAACCCATGTAATGCATGCTCCTGTTCTTGTTGTGTACAAACACAAACGTCACGTAACTGTACATGAACTTGAATGTGTACTTTAATTTGCCATCTAGACCTATTGGTTATCTCTCGGACGCTGTGGAGGAGGTTTGCCTACAGTTTTTCCTATGCGGAGTGTACGGCATTCCACCATGACACGCAGATGACGTACCCTGCCCTGACGAAGGATACCTTCAGAAAATTTGACAATTTTCATCGGTGAGCATCTTGATATGTACATGCATGTACATACATCATGTACAAGTACATGTTTACATGTACATTGTACATGTATGTCTGTGGCTATAGAAAAAGATAAAATATGAAACTTTCTTATCTTCTATAGTTTTTAACACTCAATACAATGCAAGAAAAATCCCAGCAAAGGCACAGACAACAATCTTGAAAATAACCTGGCAATAATTTTCATAAGAGACTTTTGAGACGCTTCCTTTTACCTGTTCTGTTCATTTTTTTTTTACGTCACATTTAATCTAATGTGCACACGTTCAAATTGACGTCAACACCAGAAAAGGACTGGTGTATTTGCTGCCACCATGCATCTCAAAGTATCCCTTTGACTTTGTTCCATTTGTTATATTCTTGTTGTGCTTTCAGGTTTTGAAGAGTTTCTTCCTATTTCTGGATTGAAGATGTCAACGACATGCATGGCCGGGTATAATGGACGAGCTTTGGATTCCTCCGCATCTGATCTGTACTACCCACCCATTGCGATTGAACTCCGTATCAGTTCCTGACCTTGCCATGACATGGCCATGTTCATTCAAACAGCCCAACTCCCACTCTGAACCTTTCTAAATAGTCCATGGTGTGGAGTACATGTACAAATATTTTTAGTGTGATCTGAATTGGGAGTGGTAGGTCTAGTCTGTTCGCTGCCTCCCTGTCCCAGATGCTTGAATAACAGTTGACGTAAACATTTCATAATAAATATCTTACTGCCGGGGGGGGGGGCGGTTGAGAGAATTGAGATAGTTTGGGAATTTAGAAGATAACTGGAGGTAATCTTTGATCAGGACAGTTTCTGTTTTGTCCTTATTGCCATTTCAGATGGTATATATCTTGTCAATGTCACCACAAACTGACACTTGCGCACACATGAGTATTTACAGATTCGGGATATTTTGGGTTTCACAAACTGACATCCCCCACAGTGCAACACTTTTAGAGCGCACTCATGCATTTTCGGTTTCACGAACTGACACTGATCTTAATTTTACCAATTAAATCGCTTTTTAATGAAAAATTTGTACATGTATAATCGCACAAGTACACGGATATTGCCGCATCATGCTTGGGTGTCAGTTCTTGAAAAAAAAATGTACGGGGTGCGCTCTAAAAGTGCCGCACTGTGGCAGATATCAGTTCGTAAAACCCAAAATATCCCGGTTCTGTAAACACGCGCGCGTACAGCGCACACATGGGTGCGAGAGTGTCGTTCGTAGTGACGATGACAATCTGTACCTGATTTCATGAAACTTATTGTAACCTACGATGCATCGTTGTATCCTTAGTGTACTGGTTTCGGTATTAGGTGTATCCCCGGGGAGGCGATAACATAAACTCCACCAGCTAGTGTCAACCACGATTAAGAATGCAAAATGGCCGAAGGTCAGGGCTTCAGATTCCACTTGATCTTTAATGCGCGGTGAACTGTTAACAAGATAAAAACGATACAAAACTACTAAATATCTGGCAAAAGTCCAAAACATGAACAGGTTCGAGGAAAATACTGTAAAGTTCGGTCTACATGAAGTAAACAGAGATAAACTGGGAAAGACAATCTGAAAAACACTCAAATAGTGAATACGGGCTGTAATCCCCACTACATGTACAGAGTAACGTTCAGCAACTTCTCATTCTTAGGTTAAATGTAGCGATAGCTTAACATCAAAAAACCCTATCAATGTGGAAGAGAAATATAAGAAAATTATCTCAGGCACAAGAAAATCTAATGACTTATTAATCAAACAAAGGCTCTAGGTGTCTAAAATATCACTTGAAGTATCGATGAGTAGTCAAAAGTTCTAAATACTTGAGTGAATTAAGGCAAAATTACATGTACGTATATGTAATAAAAGAAAGTCAGATTTATTGGTTCAGAAAATCACTAGAAAATCACTTACATTACTGTGGTTCTTGGGAGTCAAATTAAAAGGCTTAAAAATACATCTCAGGAGGGTCTAACTTCTCAAAGGTTGTAAAAACTATCAGCTGTAGGTCTTAAAATCTAGAAATGCTTGAACTAAAACAAAGGTGTCGGGAATGCAAGCAGTATGGTATTTGATCTGGCTGTTCCTGTGTAAGTCGAACAGCGCCCTCAAGTGATGGGACTGGAGGAAAGGGCGCCATCGTGTGGCTGGGGTGTATAAGGGAACAATGACCTTCACACTCCCCGTCTAAAATTGAACCTAGAGAAACTTTTACTGAATATGTAATCAAGGATAATTGTTCGTGTACAGTCTGTCTCACTCGGTTGTAGAGCACTGTGTTGAGTCGTGACCCTTCTCAAGGAGCACAAGCTCCGAGATAGGTCTGAAGTAGGTTCTGCGCGTCCCGTCAGAGCAGACAATGATGTCGACCTTGCGAACTCTGCCGTCATCACTGGGGTACGTCTTCGTGACTCTGGCAAGGGGCCAGTTGTTCCTCCTGAGCTCCTTATCTCGGACCAGAACTACGTCTCCTTCGCGGATATTGGGCTGCGTACTGTTCCACTTTGTCCTGGGCTGCAAACTCTGGAGGTACTCCTTCTGCCATCGAAGCCAAAATTGTTCTGCAAGATACTGGGCACGACGCCAATGTTGTCTGCCATAGAGATCTTCTTTGACGAAGTCACCTGGAGGTGCCTGAAGTGTCTGAGTCTTCAGGGTGAGGAGCGTGGCAGGAGTGAGTGGTCGGGGGTCGTTGGCATCTGAGGAGACTGTAGTGATAGGTCTCGAGTTGACGATAGCACATGCTTCCGCCACAAAAGTCACCAGTACGTCATGGGTTAGCTGATGCTTACCTAGTTGGGCAAACATTGATTCCAGGACACGTCGGATGATTCCTATTGGCCGCTCCCAAACTCCTCCAAAGTGCGAGGCGTGTGGGGGGTTGAACACCCACTCGCAACTCCTGGTAGTCAAGTACCTCCCAACTTGTTCGTGGTTCAGCTCGCCCTTGGCGCCTACGAAGTTTGTTCCTCTATCGCATCTGATTTTGGCGACCGGTCCACGAACTGCAACAAATCTTCGAAGTGCACAGATGAAGGCTGAGGTGTCCATGGAGTCAATGACCTCAACGTGGACAGCTCTAGTGGAGAGGCACGTAAAGATTACAGCCCATCGTTTGGAATCTGCTGAGCCGCCTCTTGTTTTCCTCGTCACAATGGTCCAGGGTCCGAATACATCTGTTCCAACATTGGTAAAAGGGGGCGTTGGCTGGAGCCGGTCTTGAGGTAGGTCGGCCATGACTTGAGTGAAAAACTTGCCTCTTAGCTTCGCACAGATGGTGCACTGGTTGATGACACTTCTGACAAGATCATGAGCGCCGATGACCCAGAAGCCTCCAGCTCGAATAGCTGCGAAGGTGAAATGCCTTCCTTGGTGTTTGACCTCTTGATGAAAGTGTTTCACAATGAGTTTGGAAACATGGCTGTTCTTGGGAAGGATAACCTGATGACGTCCCCCCAGATCGAGGTCGGCTCTTCGCAGTCTTCCTCCGACTCTGATGAGTCCATCGTTGTCAATGAAGGGGCTTAGCTGGTACATGGGGCTTTTCTGCTTTATGGTATTTGTCGAAGCTTGCTCCAGATCACTGTTGGTGATGAGGCTGGCTAGTTCCTCTCCAAAGTACTCTTTCTGTACTGCATGGAAGATCACACGATCTGCTTTCTGCAACTCTTCAACAGATGCTCGTCTGTGGGGTTTGTCAGCTTGCTGGTTGTCGTCACTGATCCCTTCCCGTTTCGACTTGAAGGTTTTCACTGCAACAATGAGGGTTGTGACTGCACGTCTGAGAGATGCCCAGGTAGAAAAGCATGAGAACCTATTACATCCCAATTGCGATCCCTGGGCCATGGTGACTGGACTCTTGGGTTGGTCACTGACGTTCGTGTGGTTGACGCGCGTTTCTCTCCGCACTTCGGGGTCGTCATCGGCAAGTGGAATTTCATGACTGGCAGATGCTTCGGTCTGCGTTGGAGAGGGGTCTTGCTGCCAGAGGAAGTCTGGTCCTCTAAACCAAGTCGAGGTGCTAAGTTGGTTAGCAGGGACTGAGCGAGATGCCAGGTCCGCAGGATTCTCGTCTGTTGGCACGTGGTGCCACTGGTTGGGTGTTGACACATTGTGTATTGTGTGCACTCTATTTGCCACATACACATGGACACGTCTAGATTGGTTGGAAATGTAGCCAAGGACTACCTTACTATCGGTGTAGTAGGTGGTACTGTCGATAGCTGCTCGTGCTCTGATCTCTGGCTCAACAGTCTGCACCAGTGTAGTTGCCAGCGCTGCCCCGCACAGCTCCAGTCGTGGTATGGATACCGCATGGGGAGGTGTGACTTTCGCCTTAGCCAGAAGGAAGGACACATGTGACTGGTTGTTTTCGTTGACAAGTCTCAAGTAGGCGACCGCTGCTATTGCTAGATCACTAGCATCAGAGAAGACATGAATTTCTCGTCTGTTGACATGGCCGAAGTCTGTAGGATGATAACAGCGGGGAACATGGATGTCTTGAAGGTTGAGTAGAGAATTGCGCCAGCGGGTCCATCTTGGGAGACAGCTCTGAGGCAGTGGACGGTCCCAAAGATCCTGAGGCGAGTTTTGCTCCTTTTTTGAGGCCGCCATAAGCTCTCGTAGGATGAATTTCCCTTCAATGGTGACTGGTGCTGCTAGACCCAGCGGATCATAGATGGAGCTTGCCACCGAAAGGACTCCCCGCCGTGAGAAGGGTTTGTCTTGCAGGTCAACTTGGAATCTCTTGGATCTCTCTTCCTTGGGAAGAGCGTTCATGACTTCCTTGCTGTTGGAGGCAATTTTATGGAAGTGCAAGTTCTTGGTGGCCAGGGCATCTCTACAACGTTGGACCAGGTTTGTGGCAGTCTGTGCGTCTCGTTGTGATGTAAGCCCATCATCGACGTAGAAGTCATTGTGGATAAAGTGCTTCACGTCAGCCCCATGAGTAGATTCGCACTCGTCGGCAACCATTCTAAGACCGAATGTTGCTACAGCAGGGGATGAGATGCTGCCAAAGAGGTGGACGTTCATCCTGTATTCTACTGTTGGTTTAGTAGGGTCATTGTCGTCGAACCACAAGAAGCGCAGATAATCACGATGCTCTGTGTTGACGTAGAAATTATGGAACATGTGTTCCACATCCCCCATCACAGCAACTTCGGCTAGCCTAAATCGAAGGAGAATCCCCAACAGACTGTTCATCATGTCCGGCCCTTGGAGGAGTGCTTTGTTGAGGGAGATGCCTTTGAACTCCGCACTGATTTCCGGCTTTTTGGGATGATGTACGGCAAAGTGTGGAAGGTACCACACCGTCCGAGGAGGAGGGCACAGCTCATTCTCAGGTACTCGGCTGGCGTGGTTTCTGGTTAGGATCTTGTCAAAAAAGGCAATGTAGTCTGACATCATCTTTGGCTTACGACGTAGATTCTTCAAGAGGTTGTCTAGTCTGCTTTGGGCCTGAGGACGGTTGTTGGGCAGGTTTGGCTGATGTTGCTTGAAGGGTAGAGGGAACTCCAGGTTTCCATCTGAGTTGGTGTGGGCACCTTCTGTCAGGATGTCGAGAAAGTGCTGATCTTCGATCGACAGGGCCTTCAAGTTGTCCTCTGGAGTTTCCACGTATATGTCCGTTGTTGTGTTCTTGCGGGCTGATGAGAGCATATCTTTCACATAGAGGTGATTTTCACAGACATCTGATCCATCAGGTTGTGGTTGAAGGATCGTGCGTTTGACGGAGGCGTGTACTTTCCCTTTGGCACCACTCATGCAAACTTGTCCAGAGACAGTCCAACCTAGGTCAGTACGTTGCGCCCATGGTGTTCCTCTAGGACCATTACGCGATTGTCGAACTTTCAGAGGCTCAGGGCAATTTCTTTCAACGAGAAGGATGATGTTGATGTCGTCTCGCACCTCTGGTATCTTTGCAGCAATTGGCCTGAGGTGGGGAAAGTTTTCACAGAGGTCAGGGTTTGGAATCTCGCTCCTGTCACCAGGAATGTAGGCATTCTCGATAACGGTAGGTAGCTGTTCAGTTTTCCCGTCTTGTGATTCAACAATCAGGCCACACGCTCGTCTTCCTTCCGATGTGATTTTGTTCCCTCCGCAGGTAGAAATCTCGTACGGAAAAGCGGGGCCTGCAAGGTTGAGTGCTTCGAATACTTCTGGGCCTCCCAAACAGGCACTGGACTGATCATCTAGCACTGCATAGCCAAGGATGGAGTTTGTGGGATGATCCTTGTGGTAGATCTTGCAGAGAACAATCTTGGAGCAAGATCTTGCCGAGGAACAGGTCAAGAACCGGGCGCACTTCGTGTTAGCAACTACATCCTTGTGGCTCTTTGCTGGTTGCTTCTCGCTCTGTACCTCCCCCTCGTTCTGCTTCTGGTTGATATGCATGAAGGAGGCATGCTCGGTGCTTTTGCATTTTCTGCACTGCACTTTTGATTCACACTCCTTCATTCGGTGGTTGGAACCGCACTTGAAGCACAGACCTCTGTCCATGCAGAACTGTCGTCTCTCTTGAATAGGTTTTCTGCCAAAGGCAATACACTCGGACAGACGGTGGCCTTGTATGTCGTGAAACTGGCACTTCTCTTTGGCTTGAACTGTTGACGCAGGTGCAGATTTTGTGGGTGTGGACATCACCAGGGGGGCAGATGTAGATTTTGTGGGAGTGGACGTCGCCAGGACACAAAGAGAGGATCCGCGGCTCCTGTCTGTTCTCAGTTTCTCAGGCGTTGGATGGAGAATCTTGCTTGAGGGGTACAGCTCTGGGTCGTTGTGTAGCCTCGCTTTTTGCTTCAAGAACTCAGCCAACATGGTGAATGGAGGGTAGTTGCCTTTTGCCGTTTTGTGTTCTGAAGCACGCTTACGCCAAGCGTTGTGGATGTATGTGGGCAACTTCTCGAGTATGGGATGCAGATTGTGCGCATAGTTGAGAATGTTCAGGTCAGGCAGGTCATTCATTTGGGCAGCAGCGTCTACACATAGATCGGCCAGTTCTTGGAGCTTGCGGTTCTCCTCAGCTTTGAATCTGGGGAAATCGATGAGCTTTCGGATGATTGCAGTGGTGATATTTGTCTTGTTGCCAAACCGCTCCTTCAGCTCTTTCAACGCTTCTTGATAGGCTGTCTCAGGGCTAGAAACGTAGCGATGTCGGAATCTATCTACCAGTTTCCTCACCTCCCCTTTGGTGTACTTGGCGAGAAAGGTAAGTTTCTGCGTAGCCGGTGTGTGGGCGTGGTTAACCATGGTCTCGAAGGCGCAGCGCCATGGTTGAAACATAATGGGATCTCCATCATATACATCAGGCTCATGGGTAGGCTGCCGTTGACGAGCAAGAGTGTCCGATATCTCTCGAGTCAGATTAAGGAGAGGTTGTTCTCCATCGATTGGCGTTTCAGGCAGGGGGGGGGGGCATTGGTGTAGTCGGCGAAACGTCACCGGGTGTCGACGACAGGGTAACTGTCTGTTCAGCCGATGGCCGAAAGGACGGGGTTGAGGCTTGAAGCTGGGAAGTCAGAGTTGCATCAACTACTTTGTCAGTTTGATTCAGAAACCGCAAGGCGTGGTCGTTGGAGGACTGATGTGGGGACGTTATGGACTCGCCTGTTGTGTCTTCTTGATCAGCTTGCTGGAAAGCGTCAGATTTGGCCTTCTCTATGGCTGCAGCTTGACGTGCACGGAGGATTTGCAGGTCCGCTTCGGCTGATGCCAATTTTGTTTGTTGTTCAACTTCTCGTCTCGCCTGATCAATCTTCTTTTCAGCTTCGCTGGTCATATGCAGAACTTTCATGTCAGCTGTGCGTTTGGCAATCACTTCTTCAAAAGTGGCATTTTGGGCAGCCGCTGCAGCGACTGCAAGTGCATGTGCCTTTGCACTCTGGACCGATGAAGATGTTGACTTCTGTGATCGTCCGGAAGTACTAGGAAGTCTAGAAAAGCTAGACTGAGTCTCGAGGGCTATTTGGTACAATCTGTTGGCTCCCTGGGAAATAATGCAGTTTGCATAGCTGGCATTCTCGAGGAAAGTCATTTTCATACGGAGAGCGTCCTCTATGAATTCACCTGTCTGATCCTCTCTATACAGTTGATCCAGCTTAGACCACAACTCAGTATACGATTGCAGTGCAGACCGTGCACTGGAAAGGTTGTGAAGAATGACGGCTTGTTCTTCGGGGGCATCACTGAGGCTTTTGAGATTTTGTGAGGTTTTTCTCCAGTTCTGATGCAGGGTTTTCTCGGTTGTGATGATGTTATTGTACAGAGCTTTAGCTGTAGGGTGTCTTTCCCTCTGGGGTCGATCATGAACATGTAAGTCCTCCATGAGTGGGTCCTGGTGTCGGGTTTCAGGTTCAGGGGAAACGAGGTCAGTTTCGAGGGCATCTGCCATGATGGGGATTGAGAATGTGCCTTGTGACGAACGGGAATTACTGAGGAGTAATTTGTAGCTTGTTCTTCACAGTAATTTCACTGTACTGGTTTCGGTATTAGGTGTAACCCCGGGGAGGCGATAACATAAACTCCACCAGCTAGTGTCAACCACGATTAAGAATGCAAAATGGCCGAAGGTCAGGGCTTCAGATTCCACTTGATCTTAAATGCGCGGTGAACTGTTAACAAGATAAAAACGATACAAAACTACTAAATATCTGGCAAGAGTCCAAAACATGAACAGGTTCGAGGAAAATACTGTAAAGTTCGGTCTACATGAAGTAAACAGAGATAAACTGGGAAAGACAATCTAAAAAACACTCAAATAGTGAATACGGGCTGTAATCCCCACTACATGTACAGAGTAACGTTCAGCAACTTCTCATTCTAAGGTTAAATGTAGCGATAGCTTAACATCAAAAAACCCTATCAATGTGGTAGAGAAATATAAGAAAATTATCTCAGGCACAAGAAAATCTAATGACTTATTAATCAAACAAAGGCTCTAGGTGTCTAAAATATCACTTGAAGTATCCATGAGTAGTCAAAAGTTCTAAATACTTGAGTGAATTAAGGCAAAATTACATGTACGTATATGTAATAAAAGAAAGTCAGATTTCTTGGTTCAGAAAATCACTAGAAAATCACTTACATTACTGTGGTTCTTGGGAGTCAAATTAAAAGGTTTAAAAATACATCTCAGGAGGGTCTAACTTCTCAAAGGTTGTAAAAACTATCAGCTGTAGGTCTTAAAATCTAGAAATGCTTGAACTAAAACAAAGGTGTCGGGAATGCAAGCAGCATGGTATTTGATCTTGCTGTTCCTGTGTAAGTCGAACAGCGCCCTCAAGTGATGGGACTGGAGGAAAGGGCGCCATCGTGTGGCTGGGGTGTATAAGGGAACAATGACCTTCACACCTAGGATGACGCATCCTGTGATTCATTTCACAAAATATGCTGTAAGTGCGACACGTCGTAGTGTATTCAAAGGACAAAAGGTGACTACATGTACATGTTCATGTATTTTCATGTTATGTATTTATTCAAAGAACAGTAAATAGTCGTCGAAAAGTCAACAAAGAGTCGTCGATTGTACTTGTGAAAACTTTTCTTAAATATTTAACAAAATTTACGATGTATGATGCATTCACACTGGAAAAGAACTTCACAGTGGACTGTGTTTGCATCAAATTGTGAAGCGATGTAGTGCTTTGTAAATCTGCGGGTGCAGGTCATCCAGGTACGTGTACACGTACGTATGTGAAATTTTAACTAAGCGAAAATTTGAAACCTGAAATTGCCATCACCACCACTTATGAAATAGTGCAGTTAAACTGCAGTGCAAGCTCCTTTCTCCAACAAAATATTAATAATAAATAAATATAAAAAACCTTTACTGTCTTCAGGTGTGAGGGTATGCTTAAATCCATTTGCCCTTTCATAAAGTTGAATTTTTGAATCCCTTTCTTGAATCAACTGCAACTACCCTACTTAATTTTTCAGACTTTTCATAGTTTTATAACTTGCCAAACCTGATTTCACTAGTTGAGTTCATGCCTGCATTACATGTGCACTTTATTTACTTGTAAAATATGGCTGTTGTGAAGTTTCACTTCTGTAAATGAAACAATTTTTTTTTAAATGATATGGATTGGTTGTGAAATAAAGAATGCGTTTATTGCCAAACAAAAACCTATTTGTTATTGTTTTGTTTAAGCTATAGATCCAATTAATTGTCAGCAACTTCCCCCAGAAAATTAAGAGGATAGAGTGTCTAGCTATACTGATGGCAAATTCATGCTTGGTTTTGGATTGTGCTAGCTGCTTTAATATGCTGTACAACACTCACTCACTGTACACTAAACATTTGTGAATTTCGGATTGTGTGTTTTTTTGTCCACAGTGAGTGTTTTCATTTAAAGACATATATAGATGGTTCTTTATTTCTATGTAATCTTTTTCGCATTTTATGCATTTTGTTTTTAATGTCTTGCGATCGTCCCGAATGCGATGGTTTTACGTACGTACACATGTACATGTACAATGTACATGTGTACACGTTGTACGGCGCTTTTGTGTACACAACACACGCGGCGCTAGGCCAGTTGGTACCCGCGCGCCAGTTTGCATGTATTAGTGGGATACTAGATCGTAAACCAGCGATGCAGCAGCCCGAATTCTCAGCGAAGCTTTGGAATTGTAGTCTGACTTCCAACGTCTATATTTTATTTTAAAATGTCGACCCGACCAAGAAAAAGTATGATTTGGCTATTTTCATAACTGAATAATGGTATCAACATAAAGATTTCTTCTGACAAACTACGTTTCGCTTTTATTGAAGGCTTTTAAAAGTCTTCGATACGCGAATAAATTCATCCCGCATTGCAGAAATGTGGCGAATATTCCCCTAAAACACACCTTAGCATATAAATTATACCCCTTTCTCATTTATTTCCTAAAGAAAACATCATATCGCGTCATTGCCTGTCATTTATGGTAATAAAACATATTTCTAAAGTGTCTAATTTTGACATTATTTGGGACGAAACATCGATGTTTTTTCTGTATGTGGACGGCGCCATGTTGTGTGACGTCACCGGCATCATTGGGGTTCACAAATACAGCACTAACGCATTACAGAACCTTTTTGTGTGTACGCGCTATGCATGTGGAACTGCCGTGTACACGCAGTAGATGGATTTTCAATCTTACAGCACACTGGCACTTGTTCTTGGAAGCTTACACAGAGTTCATGCATGTACTGCACCATCCCTTTGAAGGAACGGGGAATGGGTTGGGTTGATGCGATGGGATGATGGGCTGAGATGGTGAGGATGAGGGATGGGGTGGATGGGGTGAGGTAGATGGGTAGGATAATGGGGTGGGAAAGAAGGGTAGGAGTTGGTGGGATGGATGGGGTTTAGTAGATGGGGAGGATAATGGGGTGGGAAAGAAGAGTAGGATGAGGTGGTGAGATGGATGGGGTAGGGTAACCCACCACCCCATCTATCCCCACCGCATCATCTCCACCCAGCCGTCCTGCCCGTCTCCCCACCACATCCACGCCACCTCATCATCCTATCATCAACCCACCCCAATCATCGTGCCCATTTACCCCACCCCATCTACCCTGCCCACCAAACCCACCCATTTACCCCACTCATCTACCCCCCCCCCTCATCTTACTCTTCATACCCACCCCATTATCCTGCCCATTACCCAACCCCATCCACCCACCCCATCATCATACCCTTCAAACCCACCCCATCATCCTGCCAATTTCCCCAACCCATCCATCCCACCCTATCATTCTACCCTCCTTCCCCAACCCATTATCCTGCCCATTACCCCACCCCTTTCCACCCCACTCTATCATCCTACTCTCATACCCACCCCATTGTCCTGCCCATTACCCCACCCCATCCACCCCACCCCATCATCCTACCCTTCAAACCCACCCCATCATCCTGCCCATTACCCCATCCACCCCACCCCATCATCCAACTCTTCATACCCACCCCATCATCCTGCCCATTACCCCACCCCATCATCCTACTCTTCATACCCACCCTATCATCCTACCCATCTGCCCCACCCCATCCATCCCACCATCTCCTCTTAAACTGCTCTAAAGGTGGTTTTCAGGATGCACCTTCTTCCACTTGTTCACCTGTTGAGTACGTTCAAATGTGGTCTAAGAGTAGTTGTTGGTCTAAAGGTGGTTGTATGGCATTTTCAGTGTATGGATATGATCTGCTTCTGTTTTGATGTGTTTTTGTTGGATTATCTCTATTTCTGTGTGTATTAATACTAAGCTA